TCTTTGGGGCAGTCTTCTGCCCAGGTGCTAGAGCGAGCTGGTTTCCCTAGCTCGCGAGCTGAAATATTCTTGGAGTATTCCCTTATTGGTAGCTCGGGGAACCTGGAGCTCGCGTTGTAGCGAGCCTCTCCTTTACCTTGCCACCGCATAGCGGGCTGCTTTATGAGCCTATCACTTAGTCGTACCGGAATACGATGTTGAGCTGTCACTTACGCTGAGTCAGCATCCATGTGTCGCCGTTTCATAGGTCGGGTCAAATCATCCTTCATCAATTATATACCAGCAAATTGTTATTTAGGAGTCTTAATTCTTGTAGAGATGTGAAAAAATGAAATAACTAAGAAATACTCCAATCTCTAGTTATTATTGAAGATGGTATTCAATCAAGTAGAAATTCCCCTTGTGCATTGGATTTGGATGTCCAGTAAGGACCACCTACCTACGCCACACCACTAGACCTGGTGCACTTTGTAGGTTGTGAACTTAGTTGCTTGATATCTGCTACTGAAGACATGCCAAAATCCACTTCTATGATTTTGATAAGTTGTTATATACACTTTATCTAAACCATTTCTAAGAAGAATGAAATATATCTACACAAGTCAGATACAAATACAAAATCTCAAGACATGCCTACCCTAGTAAATGCAAAATTCCAAGGTCCATATAATTTGATAGATTCTGTTGATTCCATATTTAAGATAACTTGGTTGATAGAAATGTGCAAAATAGGAAGAGTGTCTTCTAATAAGCTTATCACACATGCTAACCAATGATACCCAGCTATGCAAGGACACAGGTGGACAAGGTGTTGGATACAGAATTTAAACTCAAAACTGTCTCAAACCAAACAGAATTCGTGTACAAGTATCTGGGTATCATATCTGTTAACCATATAATTGGCATATAAAAGATAGATGGAAAGAAAAATGTAATAAACTGTTTTTTTTTCAAATAGAAGCATTGGCTTTATCTCTGAACCAATCGAATTTCAGAAAATAAAAGCATCCATCTTATAGAAATGCATTGCAACTTGCAACTATCCATTCTGATGTGTTGCATGTATCTCTTGCTATTTTTGAGTAGGCTAACCTTAAGCAATCTACCTTTACTTACAGAACATTTATTTATTTATTTATTTAATGGAAGTTCCTTGGGACAGGCACCATATTTAAATTTAGAGAAATTTAACAGTGTTCTTTTAATTTCAGGAAGTTATTTCATAGTATATGTTGCTTGATTTTGCATCTCTCTTGCAGGCCAAGATGTTTTACTTCAACTCATTCTCATTGCTAGACCCAAACATGAGGTCAACTACTCTGCAGGCCATTAAGATTTCAAAGAAACTAGGAGGGATCATCTTCTTTGATTTAAACCTTCCATTGCCTCTTTGGCAGTCTGGGGAAGAAACCAACATGTTTGTACAAGAAGCATGGACTCTTGCTGATGTTATTGAAGTAACAAAGCAAGAACTTGAGTTTCTCTGCGGGATCAAACCCTCCGAGAGTTTTGATACAAAAGATAATGACAAGTCCAAGTTTATTCATTACAAACCAGAAGTAATCAGACCACTTTGGCATCAAAATCTCAAAGTTTTATTTGTGACCAATGGAACCTCTAAGATACACTACTATACAGAGCAGCATAATGGATCAGTTCGTGGAATGGAGGATCCACCTATTACTCCCTTCACCTGTGACATGTCAGCATCAGGAGATGGAATTGTTGCAGGTACAGTTCTAGAAACAGTACTATGATCAACATTCTCTCTTTCTTCCTCACAAATTGCTAACCAGATTTCCCATTGTCAATGTCTGACAAAGCTTATATGAGCTCAACAACAGTATTCTCTATGGATACTAAGGCATAAAATCTAAGTCTCCAAGCACTATCTTCCATAGCCACATATTGATTGATGAGGTGCTGGGATTTTCCATTTGTTTCATATGTTGCCAGTTGCACATAGCCACATAAAGCCCCTTAGATTGACAGTTGCACACAATTTTTAAGTATGCAATATTATTTGCTTAGATTTTGAACTTCTCAGTAGATAGCTCTTGTACTGAAATTATATTAGTGCATCTTTCTATGCAGAAGAAGCAAGTTAGCATCAATGATTTATCTGACAAAATGCACATGACCTAGGGTGATTTTGTAGTCTGATAGTTACAACTATAGACTTTAATGATGAATCATTTTGTGATTATTTTAGCCTTTTCTATTCAATGAGCTAAAATTAGTATGTATCCCTCGTGGTAACTTATGTTGGCTCTGTGTTTTCAGCTCTCTTGAGAATGTTGACAGTGCAACCACATCTCATTACTGACAAAGGGTACTTGGAACACACAATCAAGTATGCTATAAATTGTGGGGTTATTGATCAATGGCTGGTTGGGCGGACACGAGGCTTCCCTCCTAAGGAAGGGATGGAAGAAGAGATTGTTCCTGATCCCAATGGTATAAAATCAATTACAGAAATGGAATACCGCACGTTGGGACCTTCTGATCTAAATGGTATACTGCCAATTAGAGAAATGGAATACCAAAAATTGGAGCCTGTAAGTTGAATGAGACGTTTACTCTGGTTTATGTTGTTTGTCATGTTGAACACATTTCAGAGGCTGGGATCAATCACTGTAAAGAGTTTTTTTTTTTTTTTCCTGCTCTTACAAATTGTTGAGGTTTAAGCTTGTAAAACTGTAGTTTAAATCACATGGTCCATCACATGAGACCAATTTTGAAATGCATGGATGTATATGTGCTCTCATCCTGAATCTGGCTGTCTCCATCCAATGTAATATTGGACTTTTAGTTCAATTTGAATACTCCAATGGGCTCCTGTAATATAAAAGCTTGAGCCTTTCCCTTTCAAAGTGAACCACAAAAAATGCTCATGAATGCAACATGCAGGCACACAGGTGCCACTGTAAATAGGATGGTACTGATAATTTTTAGAGCAATTGACAACGCCAATGAAGAGGGTAGGTGGATAAATCATCTATGCTTTATTTCACAAGCGATTGTCATTTGTCAATACTAAAATAAGGGAGAAAAGCAACTTTTGTGAGTCTACATCCGATAGGTACAACAGAGTGGGCAACCTCTGTTACAGATGTTTCACCTTTTACAGAATTAGGTAATGGGGAATGAATGGGTTATCAAGTATAAGAAGCTTTAAGATCCGAAGTTGATATCCACCTTGACCTAATGACAAAAGTAAAGCATACTTCCAGCATTGAATCATAGATCTACCCCATTGGCATTGATTGGACCAGCCGGTTTTGGCAACTGTTGAGGCTTGCCCACGTTGGAGTGAAACTTCCGAGGCAATCTCTGTATATTGATCATATTGGCCGGCTGGTCAAATTATGCTACAGTCCAGAGTCCACCCTTTGATCCATTGCTAACAAATAACATGTACGTAGGCTAAAAGTGCAAAGAGTCGACCATATGACGACACACACAGAGAGGTTGCAGTTGCAGATGGGAGCCGGAAGATCCAAAGGCCACATCTTAATGCGATGCTTCTTCAACTAATATAATACACAAGAATTCACAATGTGGGGGACGACTGTAATGAAGTGCACATGTTCTTTCTTTGTACCGTCCATCACATTTTTTTACCTCATCATGTGAAAAGGGAGTGATGAATGACCATGTCGTATGAGATTGCGATGGTTTATCCAGTAAATGTAATCGATGCATGAACAAAGAAAAATCCTAGTGTTAATTTGATGATAATATTTTCCAGTAAATATGAACAAATAGCTAAATTTCCCCTTCCCAAACCAACTGGGTTCCCCACAAAGACTGACTGCCCATCCTTACAACCTTTCTGAAGCAGACCCACACAGAGGCGGCCTTTGTTTTGAACCTGACTTATTTATCTATTCTTACAAAAAGACAACCATACTGCCCCACCCTTTAAAGAGGAAAAGCAAAAGTAAAGGAGAAGGGAAAAAAAAGACAAAGGACCAGCCACTGTCAAATTCCTCTACAACATACACACATAAACTAAGCAAAAAATAGAATTTTACTTTGCAAACTCGGGAGCCTCAAGTTTTGAGGCGGCTAGCCTGTCTAAAAACCAAACCAGCTTCCCATTGGTGGGGCATACCATCCTTGCTGGCAGCTGTGGACAATCAGGTCCCATGTCATCAATTGCCAAGTGTACAGCCTCTGCTTTGCTTCCTCCTGTCACCACCATTGCCACATTGGATGCCGAATTGATTACAGGCAAAGTGAAGGTAATCCTCTCAGGTGGGGGCTTGGGGGAATCAGTTATAAAAGTCACCCACTCATCTTTCTCATCAAGTGCAGAGTGGTTTGGAAAGAGTGAAGCAATGTGACCATCTGGGCCCATCCCAAGAAGGATCAGGTCAAACTTGGGGCAGTCACTGCACTCAGACACACCAACAATGCGGGTCTTCACCAGCTGCCGGAGGACAAACTCATACTCAGTGGCGGCTTCCTCTGCTGACATGGAATCATTGATAGAGTAAACATGACCAGGGACCACCGGTACCTGTCAATTTTAGATACGTTTAAGGATAACTATGAGAATGTACAGAAATTTCATGGCCCAAATATTGTTCAGAGTGTTATATGATGATAATGAATGCTGATGTTATTTGCTAAATGAACAAAAAGACTTTTTGTCGGATTCTAGATTCTTTGTAAAAGACCTTAGTAATAAACATAAAATTAAGTTTGTAAAAATTTGCATGTGCTGTTTGTATCATTCTATTATGCAACTCGAGATTCCTTCATATCAGTGGATAAGATGGACCTTGAACATGTGATTTTTAGGTTGCATTTGTCAACCAACGGAATTGAAAGTTGAATATTTTATATTTGATAAGGAAAATTTTCAGTGTTAAAATTTTGCCGATCAAGTTCCTGTGATAAACATGTAACATAGAATAGATACATAATTACTGAAGTTCTTATTCATATAAAAACATTTGTAGGCAAATGACCCTTGCTCTATCCACAAAAGAAAAATAAGAGAAAAGAAAAGAGTATCCTGTATTATATGTTGTTGTTGCTGTTGTGAAAGTTGTTATTACATTTCATATAAATTTTTAACTACAGAAATATACCCCCATAAAAAAATAAAAAATATGTAATATTAAAATCAATGCCTCAAGAGGAAGACATTCTAAATAATCATATTTACGTAGAGAGTCTACCTAGAGCTGATGCAAAAGCACTACAAAGAACAGAACAGGTCTACTACTAGTGTGCTTTAACTACTATCCTCTTCAGTAAAAGACACAAAACAGGTTTACTACCCACTACCCTGATGGATGAAATATAGGAAGAAAACTTTCAGTTATAATTCTCTTGATTTTCCAACCAAAATTTGCAAATGTTTTCTAAATACAATGCTATTAACCCATGGACATGTCTGAAGTTTGCAATGCAGACAGACCTAGATAGACAAACAAAATTGTGGCATGGTATGTACATCACCTCAAATATTATCTTATTGTATCTTTACTAGTTGACAAATCTAGCAGAGTATGTGGAACAGGAAGTATGAGCTCTTTAACCTAGGTGAGGGAGAAGCAAATAAAATAAAAACTGAAGGACTTAATGGTGGTGAAGTAGGCAGGGACTGAAATTTATCTACAAAAATCAGGCAATGAAGCAAGTGTAGAGTACTCACTCAACACAAATATCTGCAACTTATTTTTGCAGAAGATTGAATAAAACATTGGATAAAATTAAATGAATAATGCAGAACTCTACCAATAGATGATTCAAATAAATGTGGAAGCTTTCAATAAGAAAATCTGAAGCTTCTTAATTACCTGTACTTGCCAAGACACCCAGATTTGTATAAGGACGGAAACTAAAACTCCCAATATCCAGGATATGGATAAGCTTTTATCAGTGGGTACTGGTCAGTTTTCTTTAACTATATCATTCTTTAGCATTTTGACCACTGTTAATTTAGAAAACTACTAGTGTTCAATGAGTTATTAAGGTAAGATCAATTTGAGACATTTCCATTTTATATTGCCTTAGAGTTTAAAAATGTCCAATTTTGTTAATGTTACTTTCTGAAAATCTAGAAGATATTTTAATTTAAAACCTAAACACAGTAGACATTTGCAAGGCTTTGCTGTTTCCATCAGTTAAGTCCAGGAAAGCTGATTATTTTCTAAGGGGGCCACCAGCCCACTTTAATGTACCACACTACATGCACCTCCTATGGTGTGGGAAGTTTTGAATTAATAGAATACTCCCCACAGATGGGTAGTACCGTAGTATCACATCCAGGACCAATTTAAAATAGAAAGCAATTTTATAAGATTTGAGCAGTTCAAGCTACAAACTTTAGCTCTTCTGTTAATGCAAGAACTACAGAGTAATATTACATGGAGAGTGAATGTTACAAGGGGCTAGAGATCTAGTATTAAGTAAAGAAAAATTTTATAATGGAGTTAGAAGTTTGGATAGAGACAAGCATACAAAATATACTCTCGAGGATCAAATAGACATTCTGGGTTCAAGTTCCTTTTACCTACCTTTATCCAGACATGTTTTCCTCATCAAGCTGGCAGCATATATAACAACCAAGAATTCAACATGCTACCTTAATGGAAGACCCGAACTATGTAGACAACAAGAAGAAGATGGCCAAAACAGGGAGCAAAAGCTTCTTATGTATTTGACAGGGAGAAAAAGAAGATAACAGATGAGTTTAGACTTCATACCTTGGACAAAAGCCCATCTTTTGCTAGCTTATAGTTACTATCTACATGGTTCTTTGCTACAACACGCTCATCAGCCCAAAGTATATACCATTTGGCCCAATCGATAGTTTTGTTATAGGGAGCTTCACATAACTTTCTGTTCCCAACCAGAAATTTCAGACACCCAAAACCAGAATTACTAAACTAAACAAGAAACTAAGAAATATGAAAAAAGAGAAACTCATACCCCATCAAGCTAATGAGAGAACCACCAGATATGGCAATGGCAAAGAATCCCCTTTCCTTCACTGACACCTCTGACAATTCAGCAATGTAATCTGCCAAATCAGTGGCAAGCTCATCCACAGTGTCGTAAATTCTTAGTTCACCTCCATCTTTAAGACCCCCAGAAAGCGACATTTTTTCTCACGGGGCTACAATTCAAAAAGTGACACTGCAGCTGCAGAAAAGAAGAAAACCAAAATGCCATTAAGATAGTCATACAAACGATTCACAATATTAGGAAAAAAGTAAAACTCGAATAGAAATCCAAAAACTAAAGCAAAACCAATCTTGAAGCAGATAGAATTGGTTTCGAACATCAATATTTGTTAAAAAAGCCTGGGAAACGAAGATCCCAAAACTATTGGCTTTGTATTACATAAAAGAAAACTATCTGAACATCTAACAATCATAGAATTAGCAGAAGAAGAAGAAAAAAAAAAAAAGAAAAACTCTGCCAATTGAGAATAGACATATCGTCTACACCAACAGCTTGAAAACCCAGATCATAAAAGCATCCGGATATTCAACACCACGGAATAACAGAAAATGAAACAAAAAACAACTCCCTGCAATTTCGGATTCACGTAGCAGAACTAGAAAGAAAATCCCAGAAGTAAGTGCAAAATAAGTATCTCACTCCAACGTTGTAAGAAATAAAGTAATGATCCTAAAACAAGGCCTACCAATTTCACTGAAGAGGAAAGAATAAATATAATGATAAAAAAAAAGTCACAAATCAACTCCGTATTTGTCAAAAACATGGATTTTACTACCCAAGGAGAGAAACTCAATCGGGCAGTAACAGAACAATCTCAAAACGACCCATTACAGACAAGGAAAATAAGAACACAAAAACCCGAAAAACCTTCTAAATCTCTTGAAAGCTAGGATTCCATCAACCCAAAAATTAAAAAACAAAAAGAAAAGAAAATAAAGGCTTACAAGAACTGAGACTGGTGGCAGGGGAAGCCGAAACTGACGAAAATGGAAGGTGGGCATCAACAAATATAATATACTCTAATCCATTTAATGATTAAAATAAGCTTACAAGAAGAAGAGAAGAATTTACCTTCCACGTGCATCCCACGATGGTGACGAAACAAAACGCAGAGAAGAAAACAACCCCCCACCCCTCTCACCTCACTCACTTCACTTTTCTCTCTCCTCAAGGTACACTGATAAAAAACCTACTAAATACCCATTTGGCCATTTCACTACTTGCTCTTTTTTTCTGAAAAAGAATTCCATCCCTCCTAGACTCTTCTTTAAATAATTAAATTCTCTTCAATCAGATGTAGAGCGAGAAAGAGAGGGAGAGAGAAAATAAATGAAAAAATAATAAAATAAAACAAAGCAAAACAGGGAGAAAGGAAAAAAGAAAAAAACAAACCAAATGCAGCAAAGCCCAATTTTTCTAAACAACTGTCTTTCAATAATAGCCCAACACCTGTACAAATCATTTGCAGACAAATGTGAGAATGTGCTTCCGTCTTTCATACTTATAACCAGACAGACTATTAGATTCCCAGGTGGCCTTGTGGAGGATTAGTTCTTACACTTGTACAAATTGCAAAATTATCGACAATCTGCAGTTAAAATCTTCTTTCCTCATTCAGTTTCTCTTCAAAACCAAGGACGCTACATTACATCTATACACACGAAAATCTATGGTTGCCGGCCGTTGGACACGTGTAAAGCTCTCTAATATATGAGCTGGCGTAGACGATAAATTTTGCCAGGTGGCATGTGAGAGTCCACATTCCGAAGCCGAGTCGTCTCTAGTTAGATGGACTATTTGCATGAAAACCCACATCGTAACAAAATATTACAGCTCACAGCTGTGTCTGAACTCCGGAGGTCTGAAGTCTGAACACGTCAACTTTCTTGTATTACAGTACAAGGCAAACGATACTCACACGCCTTCTTTTTACATTGCAAATGTAAGATTCTGTTTTGATGGACCTAGAAGTCTGTTGAATGGCATTTAATCAAAAGGACACCTTTGAATTGGTAATGTTTTTTTGTCCCAGTACAATGCATGTAGATAATTCCCCAAGTGTAATCTGATTTGTCTTTTTATGTTAGAATGTTTGGACAAAAGGAAGAGAGAGAGAGTAAGAGTTAGTTATCAAAAAAGAAAATGAAAGTAATAAAAAAATAATTTTATTACCCATTATCTAATGATGGATATTACACTGAAAATGGAATGGTGAAACAGGATTTATGTAAATGACCCCACATCATTGGGACAACAAAATTTAGAGGATTATTGGTTTGTATTTCAGAGGCAGATTTTTCAGTTGAAATATCCAATATAGATGGTGTGGCAAGGAGGGATCCCGAGGGACTAATGAGTCCTTAACAAGGGTTAGATGCCCTAAACCCTTCACGTGTATAGCCTACACAGGAACGACCATTGAATGAATCCAACTACTTTCCTTAGATGTACCCCATGTAGATTTATGTACATGAAAGGAAGATATATATGTGAAATGAACCAAAGCCATATAATGCATGAGATGAGAGACATGGAAGCTTCTCAGTGCACACATGATCGACAAACTCTGTGCAATAATTTGGCTGGCCCATCTTTCATTCCGTGGACACACACAGCCCCAAATATCTGAGGCATCCTAATTTATGATGGGCAAAAGGCATATAGAAGATAACAAGTTCTGAAAAAAGAAAATGAAAGGAAAGAGAAATTGAAGAAAAGACCGAGACCCCAAAAACTGTAATTCTCCTGTTCTATGTTCCAAATACTTTTGAGTTTAGATTAATGAACCCAAACTTTCTTTTTCAATCTTCTTTATCACTCCATGATAATGTTTATGTCATTTTCCTTTGTCTCCCCTAAACCAACTAAGTCCAACTTTTACATTTTTTTTATATAATTTTCTAATTCCCATCTACTTGATACCTCTATGTTATCCTCCACTCATCAGAGGAGTTGTTATGTGTAATGTCCCCACTTTAAAACTAAATCTATGAATCCTTGGATGCCCCACGATCAAATCACTTGCTTATGGGCCCACCATATGTCCAAATCATACTATATATATTGTAGCTTTCAACTTTTCCCATCTCATACATTGCTATGAAATACTACCTACCAAATGTCTTAACAGAAAATTAAAATCTCTAGAATACTAGATGATAATTGTAATCCCTTAATCATGAAGGTGATATCTTTTGTGATACTCTTATATATCTTGATCAAGTTAATAATGTGTTTATGGGTTTTTTTTTCTGCTTGAAGCATATTATCATAATCTTCCTTTGATTATGACTATCCAACTACATAATGACAAATATAATATATTTAAGTACCTTCTATATGTGGTTCATTTTATTCTTGATGATTAATTGCTTGTTTAATTATGCCAGTTCAATATCTGCCTAAGAATTGCAGCCTCCATGAACCAACTTTATACCTTTTTTAATTTTTTAATTTATTGTTTTTTTTTTGTCAAGTTGTCTTGTCACCCATCATTTTCTAAAATTTGGCCAACCTCCACCACTGGATGAAATGGTGATCACATCACGGGAACTATGGAATCTCAGGATCAGTCAACAGTGTAAAGGAGGGGTAAAGTGAAATATAGACCAATGAATCAGTGCCCCACATCACTAGAAATCAAACTCTTGCTACCCCATTTTCAGGAATCTAGCTTAGCATTGTCAAATTTCTGACAGAGGTGTTGGGGGCTCAAATGATGTTATCCCTTTTAGGAGGGACATGAACTAGGAATGCTTTCCAAACTGAAACCTCCTCCCTTGATACTAACTTTGACAAAAAAGATCATTTGACTCTAATATCAAATCTCACTCCCAAATTCAACAACTTGATGAGAACACTTTCTCTTAATTTTAGTGCACCAATTTCATTATTATATTAGGACCACTTGCACATATATAATATATATAAAAAAACACTTTGCACCAAAGGATTTAACTAATGTAAGCACTCCCTACATGATTCCCTGCAGCCAACCACCAGAGGGCATCAGAGAAATGGGCTCAACTCAAATAAAGCTTTCTTTACCTTAAATGGTAGTTTATGGTTGCTCATAAGACTCTCTCTCTCTCTCTGTGGAATCAGATCTAGAATTTGGTAAAGGATACAAGCCATGAGAATGCCTATTCAAGCACATGTGTGGACCCAGACAAGCCTGAGACATCTATATCCTATAATAGAAGGCTTGGTGGGAAGATTTTCTGATTAAAAAATGTCATATTCTGATTTGGGAAGCTTTGGTCTTTATAATAAGCATGAGAATAGCACTTAGGCTCTGTTTGTTCGCAATGCACATAAAATTTACATTGATGTAAATGAATAGTGTGTAAATCGGATTGAATGTAAGTTCTTCACTTTTTCTTCGGGCTTGCCTTTGTTTTGTTTGTTTGTGAGTAAAATAATAAATAAAATTGTTGCAGTCCCTTCCTTATATGAAAGAAAGAGAATAAAAGTAGGAGAAAGGGTGTTAGGAGATTCTTTTTTTTTTTTTTTTGGTGGGGGAAGGTAAAATGATGTGATTTTCACTTTATATATGCATGAAAAGAAGTTAAGGTGAAAATCCTAGCTAAAAATGAAGTCCAGATTTAGCATCAGTCTTTGGAATACAAAATTTGAATTGTTAATAGATGCAAACGAGACAAAAAAAAAATACAAATTTTGCATCAGGTAAGAATGCAAATAATAGTTGAAAACAACTATGCACAAATTGAACCAGCAGGCAGGTGCAAAAAAATTTTTTCTGGTCATTGTCATGTTTCTTGGGCATGTATTGTGCCTATAAAAACAATAATAGGACAAGGAATATATAATAATAGAAGCAATAACGTTGATGGTGATGACGGTGATGAAGGCTATGACGATGATAATCCCTAAGCTATTAACTAGTTTTGTATTTAACCAAAAATTGGAAGGTTATAATCCTATTTGAGTATAGAAGCTTTTAATTGATTGTTTTTAGTGATCTGAATTGTTTGGATCTTGTTTTTATCAATGGGAGAGTGTCCAAAATTTTGAACATTCATATGTCAAATAACCACTTATCTAATTTACATTATTAATTGGCATATTTCTACTCAATTTTCCTAATAAATTGGTTTGTTTCAAATGTTTTATGAAGTGGGAAGAAGCTTCATAATGTAGACAGAGTAATACATGGGAAGTGCAGCAAGACATCAAAAGAAAATCTGAGCAAGAAGGTTTTCCAAAGCTAAACCGCCAACAAAGAGGATTGGCCTTGGTAGCTGGATGAATCAGGTTCTTTCATTCATTAATGGTCTTAAGTTAGCCAGTTAGGGTTCTCCATTCAGGTTCAACTCTCACTTGGTAGGCTCACTCTCATTGGTTATCTCATCACAGGTTTTCCCACCTAGTACCTACCCTCTCTCTCTCTCTCTCTCGATCTCTGTCTCTCTCTGTCTTAGGCAACTAATGCTGCAATGTAATTGATAGTTCAATGGAGTGATGAAGGCTTTAAAATTGTGTGTCAGGGCTCAGGTGTGATGAAGCATTGACTGTAGGTCTGTAGCAAGCAAATGGATAACCCTCCATGTATTAATGGGCTGAGTGCAATCCTTAATAGGGCCCTGCCTCCCTTACTGCCTTGCAGGTACAGAGGTGGGCCTGGCCAATTAGTAATTACATGGGCGTATCAGTTTTGCTATCAGTCTATAAAGTAGATCAGAACGCTACTACCCGCCCGATGCTTATTGCTGGGTTGTTTCCTAGGTTAGGCTGACACATGTGCATCTGCTTGAAGAACTGGCCTCTCTCTATGGGTCAACATCATTTGCAGAAATGCAACCAAAGCAGCTAACCCAGTTCATATGAGAGTTGCAGTAGCTCAGAGCCTCAGACTGAGTTGAATTCTGGGTTATGACTTATGAGTCATCATAGGCAATGCAAACACTGAAGGATGTGAAATTGGAGAAGGAACCCATATCTTCATTAATATATGTCCTTTTAACTCAGTTTGGAAAGAGTAAAATACAAATACGTATAGTATAAATACATACAAAATTATATAAAATGTCATGATTTTTAAAACTGGACCAGAAAAATTGGGAACCAGTCAGGTGATTGGTTCCCTTTTTCCCAAAACCGAAATTTTGCCAAAAAACGTGGATTTGGTCAGCAAATCATTGACCCAAGTGGTTGAATCGTTAGAATTGTTTAATGGTTTTGATCGTTTTTAAATTTTTAATATTTTTT